ATGTCAGACCCATTCTACAACAGTGGCACCATGCAGTATTTGTCCCTTTGTGACTGAGATATTTCACTCAGCATAATGTCCTCCAGGGTCACCCACTTTGAATAATATTGCATGAGTTCCTTATTTTTCAATGCTACGAAGTATTCCATTGTGTGGATATACCACAGCTTCTCTATCCATTCGTTTGTTGATGGTCCCTTAGCCTACTTCCAACTCTTTGCTATTGTAAACAAAGCTGCAGTAAACATGGGTGTGCATATATCTGCTTGGATGGCAGGCATGGTCTCTCTGGGGTATATTCCCAGTGGTATTTGCTCTCTTAATGATTTCCATTGTTTCTTCCATCATTTGAATCTTCTTCTCTTGCTCTCCTCATCAATGTATTTCTTATGGTTCTATCCAGGGTATTGATTGGGTCTGCTTTTTTAGAAGAAGAGTTATTTTATTTTTTCATGATGACTGAGGCAGATTGTTTCTTTCTTGATATTATGTGAATCTTTTCTTAGTTGATATTCTTGTTGTTGTTATGTGCCATCGAGTCACATGCAACTCATAGTGACCCTATGTACAAAAGCCCTAAACGCTATTCTATCTTGTGCCAACCTCACCATCTTAAATACACTCATTCTCACCACTCCAGTCACAATATCGATCCATCTCATCGAGGGTCTTCCTCTCCTGCGCCGTCCCTCCACTCTCCCAAACATGATGTCCCTCTCCAAGTACCAGTCCCTCCTTGCAACATGCCCAAAGTATGTCAGACGAAGCCTCAGAATCCTTGACTCCAAGGAGCATTCCGGCTTCACCCTTCCAAGACTAACCTGTTTGTTCTCCTAGCAGTCCATGATATATTCAACACTCTTCTCCAACACCACAGCTCAAAGGCAGTAATTCTCTTTCTGTCATCCCAATTCACTATCCAACTCTCTGATGCATAGCACGTAATTGCAAAGGCTATAGCCCAGATCAGGAGCACCTTAGTCTCCATTCTGACTTCGTTGGTCTTCAGTCCTCTTGAGAGGTCCCTCACAGCTGATCTTCCCAGTACAATTCGTCTACTGATTTCCTGGCTGCTGCTACCAAGAGTGTTGACTGTGGAATCAAGTAAACTAAAATCTCAATCTTTTCATCATCCATACTGATGCTGCCAATTGACCCAGTGGTGAGAATCTTTGTTTTCTTGGTGTTGAGCTTCAATCCATATTGAAGGCTGTAGTCCTTGACCTTTTGCAGCAAGCGCTTCAGTTCCTCCTCAGTTTCAGTAAACAGGGTTGTGTCATCTGCATAATGCAGGTTGTTGATGATTCTTCCACCAATCCTGATGCCACATTCCTCCTCATACAGCCCAGCATCTCGGATGATCTGTTCTGCATACAAATTGAAAAGGTATGGAGACAAAATGCATCCTTGATGGACCCTCTTCTTGACTTTGAACCATGTAGTGTCTCCTTGCTCTGTTCTAACGATTGCCTCTTGGTCCAAGTATAGATTTTGCATTACCAAAATCAAATGTTCTGGGATTTCCATTTCCATTCCCTGACTCAACGTTAGCCAAAGCTTATTGTGATCCACACAGTCAAAAGCCTTTGCATAGTCAATGAAGCACAGATAGACATTCTTCTGGTATTCTTTTCTTTCTGCCAAGATCCATCTAACAGTAGCTATAATATCCCTAGTACCACGACCTCTTCTAAATCCAGCCTGCACATCTGGCAGTTCTCTGTTGACATATTGTTCCGAATGTTTTTTGATAATTTTTAGCAGAATCTTGCTTGCCTGTGATATTAGTAATATTGTTCAATAATTTTCACACTCTGTTGGGTCACCTATCTTTGGAATGGGAACAAATATCAATCTTTTCCATTCAGTTGGCCAGCTGGCTGTCCTCCAGATTTCTAGCTGATGTTAGGTTGTTGTAACTATATAATGACCAGAAGTATAGCAATGTTTTGTGAAGGACCTGTATATTTGTTCTCCCGTCATGCAGTGTTTTCCCCAAAGTAGCTGAATGGAAAAACATGAAGCCTACTGGTCCCTTTGAGAGTATAGTTCTGCTCTGACATGGATATTAGCATCGACACTCTGTTGGTAGGTTTAATCTACTCTCCAGATAAGAAAACACCAACAGTCCCAGATCAATGAGAGGCCTATCCCCAGTACCTTGCGGGGCTTTGGGTTCCACAACCACAGTTGTGCTGGCCACTGCCTGGCATGCTATCATCTTCCTCAGGCTTTCTGCTCTCACTTCCCCTCATTTCTTGGTATTTGTGTACAGAGTCATCCCTCAGCAACACTCAGGACCCCAGCAGAGGAGCATTTCTGGACTCAGCTATTGTACCTACGCCCCTCAAGGTAAGAGACCTTGGGTGAAGTGTGCAACTGAGTCACTTGGGCTTGCTTCCCATGGGGTTAACATGAATCTTTTCTTTCTTGGCTTGATCCTAAGGATGCTTCAGCTTCAGTCATCCCCGTACATTTGGAGCCTATGGAGACCACCCCTGAGCCTAAACAGCACTGTCCATGGTTGCTGGCCACAGAGGGTGATGCTTCTGGTCCTTGTACACAAGGCCGTCTGGAGGAGAGGCCAGAGCAGCAGGGTAGCAGCTCACCAGCCAAGACTGTGGGCCGCTTCTCAGTGGTCAGCATGCAAGATGAGTGGACCCTCGCCTCCCCTGGCCTGCGCTACTCAGCCCCGCCTGATGTCTACCTTGATGCACTTCCTACCAGTTCCAATATGAAGCTGGTAGTGAGGCGTGTGCACACCGCCTCCTCCATCGAGGTTGGGGCCGGTGAGCCTTTGTCCACTGACTCTGGGGATGAAAGTCCACAGAGGAGACCCCCAGTTCAGAAGCAGACTTCCTTGCCCGGCAGCAGTGGTGTGGCCAGTGACTTTGTCCGGAAAGCCACAGCCTTCCTACATAGATCCTCAAAGACTGGGTCACTGGGCCCAGACATGCCCAGCCGGCCTGGCATCAAGGTCCCCACCATTAGTGTCACCTCCTTCCACTCCCAGTCATCTTACATCAGCAGTGACAATGACTCCGAGTTTGAGGACACTGACATCAAAAAGGAACTGCAGAACCTGCGTGAGAAGTAAGTGTCTTTGTGGTGGGGCAGGCTGCTGGATGGGGGTTTCTGAACTGTGAGGAAGGTACATGAGGTGGAGGAGGTGAAGGAGGGGCTCTGGGATAGTCAGGAAGGCATATGGGGGATGTGGGAGGAACTTCTGGACTGTCAGGAAGGTGTTCAACTCAGGCAGGTGGGTTAGGGATCAGGGTGGCAAGAAGAACTCATAGGACTTGAGAGGTTCATGATCTCTGCCTTCTGGCCAAGTCCCAATTGTGTTTGAGTCTCTTCTTATGGTTTAACCACTCCTCGCTGGACCCCCCTGGGCACCTCTGCTATGAAGTCTGAGTATTGTCCAAGCATATTTCCTCTCCTTGCCCTCATACTTCAATCTTCCCATCCTTCAGTGGTGTAGGAACTGGGAAGAGAGAAATGCCCCTGAACTGTCTATAGGGACAAGAAGCAGTTACTGAGGTATAGTGGAGACTGAATCCACCAGTGAGAGAAAAGCACCTTTCCTTTAGAATGAAGTGCTTTTGACCTGGCTTTCCTTCAAATGGGCTAAGAAAGAACAAGTAGAAGGCACTGGTTCCCCCTCCCCCTTCTTAGTATGTGACTGGAATCAGCCAGTGTCTGTGCTCCCCTCCCCCATAGCTGCCTTGGAGTCACAGCCATCACATGGTGACACTGTAGATTTGGGCTGTGTGTTCCACAGGGTTTCCACTGGCTGATATTTGGAATATCACCAGGCCATGCTTTCTAATCTATTTTAGTCTGCAAACTCTGTTGTTCAGCATTCTAGCAACATGAAATGCTCTGCTGAAAGACAGTGGCAGTGCTTGAAATATGCTTGCTGAGAATCAAATCTGGGTCTCCTGAGGGAAGGTAAAAACTCAGCCACCAAACCAGCACCATTCTTCATTTTCCTGCTGTTGTTGTGTACCATCAGTCAGAATCGACCCACAGCTGGCCATTCAGTGGATTTTCAGAGACAGTTAATCACATGGGAGGAGATCGCCCATCCTTCTCCCATGGATCTGCAGGCCACCAGATGTCCCAGTGTTTCAGGGAAACCTAAGAGGGGTGTAGACACCAGGGAGGAAGTGCTTGATATATACGACCACTGCTGTCAGAGACACACATGAGGGTTTAGTGTGGTTAAGTGAGATCAATGGGAGGTCCAAAATGGGCACAACTTGAAACAGGTGCACCACCCTCCCTGTCTTCCTGCCCCCTCCATAATAGCCCTACCTCCACTGCTCCTGCCCGGGACTTCACGTGGGCTTGTCTCACTGGAAGGTGAGGCTGAGGAGTTCGAGGTCCAGTCAGAAGCAGGTCTGGGCATTGAACCATGGCTGTTTTGGCTACTGAGAGTGGAGAGGGGATGTAGTGGTACCCACTGTACTCTTTGAACAGCCTATAGCCTGCATGGGAGTAAAGTGGCTAGTCTGCATATCTGGGAGCATGGTGACAGGGCCCTCGGCTGGGAAAGCATGACTCACAAGAATGACCTAAAAGGAAAACAAACATATCAGTCTAGATTCAAGAAGGAGCAGGCCAGCATAAATAGTTCAGGTTTTCTCTTATAGCTATAGAGGAGTCAGGGAATGCTTGCTTGAGAAAAGGGGAAGGGAAGATTTGAAACTAAATTGAAGAGGCTTCTTTATATCCAGTAGCAGGTATGTAGTGGTTCTCAAGCTTCAGCACACATTTGAAGCATTGGAGACTGTCCAAAAACAGATGTCTGAGCCCACCTAGAACAGCAGAGTCAGGGGTGGGACATGAGCCTGTGACCTTCCTCCAGGATCTCAGAATCCCGGTGCCTGGCTCAAACTCATGCTAGACACAATGCCCTAGGAGCAAGCAAGGGAATGGTTCCTGGAGTGGAAGTTGTGTTACAGTCAGGCTCCCAACAGTGTCCCCAAAGGAGAGTGTAGGAACTAAATAGCGACCAGTCTGAGCTTTAGGGAGTACATCATGCCTGGAAGCAGAATGTTGCCCTGAAGTTAGTCTGAATTCAGTATCTCAGGTTATTCACTGTCCCCTATGTTTCCACCATCTCATACTTTGTTTTTCTTCCCAAGACCTCATCTATTGTAACAACATTTTTCTGGTTTTCTCCAGCATTTGCAGGCAGAAAAGCAGGTGTTTTGTTTCTGTGGTTTGGTTTTTCTTTTTTTAATTGGCTAAAGAAAGTTGTTTTTCTAAAACAGATCTGGTAGGTGTTCAAGATAACATCAGAATTTTCTTCTTCGCAGGTTTTTATCCTTGCTCTTCAGTTTCCTCTTCCATTCTTGTCAGCCATCAAAGTATATTTCATGCTTTTCCTTAGCTCTTTTATAATTGCAGGGTCACATACTATTTGTCCTTTTGTGCCTGCTTTGTTCTGCTCAGCATAATGTCTTCCAGTTTGTCCCCATTATGCAGTATTTCCAGAATTCTTTGTTCTTTAGCATTGCATAGTAGTCCATTGAATGTGTGCACCATAGATTGTTTTTCCTTTGGTGTGCACATCTCTTCTTCTCCTAGCTCTTACTTTTTTGAGATAAACGTCTAGTAGTGGAATTTGCTGCAAAAATAACATTTCTAGTTCTAATTTTTAAAGGAGAAACTATGTCATTTTATACAGTGGCTTCTCTGTTTCCACAGTTCTATCAATGGTGAATGAAGGTTCTAGTCTTTCCATATCCTCAGCAGCATTTCTTTTTCTTGTCTTAATAAACTTTCCTAGAATGGGGTGAGATGATATCTAATTGTTATTTTTATTTACATTTCAGCAATAGTTCTAGGGTTCTCTGATGACCTAATGGGGAAAGATTTACACTCCCAAGAAGGGTAGTCTCCTCCCATGTGATTTACAACTTCTGAAAACCCACTAGAGGATCAGCTCTATGTTCGTTCTACCTCAACAGCAGTAAGGAGGAGGAATTATGGTGGGTGGAAGGGGATTCTGGTGGCATAATTCACATGGATGTTTGCTGTTAACCCACAGACTGCACTGCTTTTGTCAGTGTGAATCAGGAGAAATATGAACAATCTTCTCCCTTGATTTTTGTTGTCGTCGTTGTTGTTGTTATGTAACGTCAAGTCGCCTGTGACTAATAGCAACCCTATGTACAACAGCCCTAAACCCTGCCCTATCCTGTGCCAGTCTCATTGTTTCCAACACACCTACCGCCATTACCCCAGTGACTATATCAATCCATCTGTTCGAGGGTCTTACTCTCCTGCACTGTCCCTCCACACACCCAAGCATGACATCCCTCTCCAAGGTCTGGTCCCTCCTTACAACCTGTCCAAATTATGTCAGACGAAGTCAGAATCCTTGCCTGCAAGGAGCATTCTGGCTTCACCCTTTATAGGATAAACCTGTTCGTTCTTTTAGAAGTCCATGGTATATTCAATACTCTTTTCCAACACTACATCTCAAAGACATCAATTCCCCTTCTATCATCCTTAGCCATTGTCCAGCTCTCTGATGCATAGCAAGTGATTGAAAAGACTATGACATGTATCAGGCGCACCTAAGTCTCCAGACTGACATCGTTAGTCTTCAGTACTTTAGAGAGGTATCTAACCACAGTCTTTCCCATCGCAATATATCTTTTAATTTCTTGGTTGCTGTTGATTGTGGAGCCAAGCAAACTAAAACTCTGAACAGTCTCAATCTCGTCACCATCCATCATGCTGTTGCCAATCGGCCCAGTGGTGAGAATCTTTGTTTTCTTGGTATTGATCCTCAATCCATACTGAAGACTGCAGGTCCTGACCTTTCACAGCAAGCACTTCACATCCTCCTTAGTTTCATCAAGCAGGGTTGTGCCATTTGTATAATGCAGATTGTTGATGTGTCTTCCTCCAATCCTGATGCCACATTTCTCCTCATAGAGCCCAGCCTCCCAGGTAATCTGTTCTGCATAAAGATTGAAAAGGTATGGAGATCGGAGACATCCCTGGTGTATACCTTTTCCAATTTTGAACCATGCAGTGTAATAGAGTTATGCACATTAAATGATTTATTCATTGCAAATACCTTTTATAAGAAATATAAACACAAGCTATACACGTGGATTTCACCTGATGGTATGCATAGGAATCAAATCGATTACATTTGTGGAAAGACTCGCTGGAGAAGCTCAATATCAGCATTGAAAACCAGGCCGGGTGCTGATTGTGGGACAGACCAACTACTCATATGCAAGTTCAAGCTGAAGTTGAGGAAAATTAAATAAAGTCCACAGGAACCAAAATTTGACTTTAAGTCTGTCCCACTCAAATTTTAAAATCATCTCAGGAATAGATTTGAGGCCTTGAGCACCAATGAGCGTAGACCAGATTAGCTCTGGGAGGATATCAAGAAAATCATCCATGAAGAATGCAAAAGATCATTACAAAGGCTGAAAAAGAAGAAAAGACCAAGAGGGATGTCAGATGAGACTCTGAATATTGCATTAGAGTGCCAAGAAGCCAAAGCTAAAGGAAGAAACCAAGATACTAAAGAGCTGAACAGAAAATTTCAAAAGGCAGCCCAGGACAACAAAGCAAGATACTATAATGAAATGTGCAGAGAGCTGAAGTCAGAAAATCAAAAGGGCCGAACTCGCTCAACATTTCTTAAGCTGAAGGAGCTGAAAAACACAGGTGACAATACTTAAGGATACTTTGGGTAGAACTTTAAATGATCCAGGAAGTATCAAAAAAAGATGGAAGGAGTACACAGAGTCACTGTATCAGAAGGAATTGGATGACACAGAAGAATTTCATGAAATAACACATGAGCAAGAGCCTATGGTGATGGAGGAAGTTCAAATTCCTCTGAAGGAATTGGCAAAAAACAAGGTTCTAGGAGTTGACGACATATCAATTGACATGTTTCAACGAGCAGACACTGCCCTGCATGTATGTGCTCACAAAGTTTACCAAGAAATCTGGAATACAGCCAGCTGGCTGGCTGACTGGAATGGATCAATATTTGTTCCCATTCCAACAGAGGTGACCCAACAGAGTGTGAAAATTATCAAACAATA